ACTCTTTCTGTGCAATTTCACCTAGGACCTAGTAACATCACCATAAAGCGCTGGAAGACTCAAAGTGCTAGTGGGCAAAATTCTGACGTAAGATACCCTCAACCCCCGAAACTCTTAGGGTTAATGGAACAGCACATCCCACACATGCAGACAGGAGCACAGAGTCAAAAACAGTGTTACCATGACACTAGCATTTTATGAGTATAACTCCATAAATGTCATTTGTGCAACAGTGTTTCCCTGCAGTGTGAAGTTCTGTAGATTGCAGCCATTGTTTCGTATATTCTGGTGTTCTCTCACTACCTAATGAGGCCACAGCAATTAACTGGATGTCAGAGCCAGAGCTAACTAGTTGATGAGTAGTAAAAAAGCAAGCAAAGCCTCAGAGTACTGTGTGAATTCATGTAACCATTTATTCACTTTCCCGTCAGCAGCGTATGGCGGGTAAGCACAGAGCATAACAAGAAGAGTGATGCTCTCTAGTGTCTTTTATGAGGTTTATTTATAGGGGAAAAAATGTGTAATTTCTGAACTATACAGTTGTTCTTAAAATTATTCTCATTGTGTCAGTAGCTGATGAGCATTCAGTAATTGTGCATAAATGGCCCACAGCCAAAGCACTGGAGCTGCTTAATAATGTCCTGTCATGAAGCAGAAGTGTGCTATGGACAGGCAATTTCAAACACTGTAAAGTCTGTAGTGGTGTTTGTGGTGGGATGTTGGTTCTGTGCAGGAGTAGAGCACGTGTCAGTTTAAGAGAAGGATAACCACGATCCAGTAAAAATCACTTAGGAAGTGATGTAATTGCCTGGGTGAGTTATTGCCCAAGAGGCCAGATTAACAACCTGTTCTCTGTTCTGTATACAAAGTGCATGAAGATTGGCTTTGCTTCTTGGCGTGCTCTTGTGAATGCAGATACAAGGGAATCTGGAAACGAGCAAGAAAGCCTCTTTTCACTGCAATTGGACTTTTCTGCAAGGTTTCATAGTGACAGGCCACAGCAATACAGACATTAAGTGCTTGTAGCAGTATTGCAGCTGATACTGCCATAGCCACTTGAGCTAGTCATCTCCTGGTAGAGTCTTCTTGCTGGTTTTATGTCGGCTGTGCTTCACTAACAGGAGCTGTGTATTTGCAGGGCACTGAAGTCTGAAGGCGTCTGTGAGTCTGTACTGTATGGCCTGCCCTTCATCATCAAGCCCACAAGCTGCTGGCAGCTAGACTGGGATGAACTGGAGATAAACCAGCACAGCTTCCATGCTCTATGTCACAGTCTTCTGGTGAGTGTGTGAAAATTGGAGTCTCATGGAGAGGGATTGCCATAGAAAGGAACAGTTAGTGCACGTCTAGTAACATCTGTCTAGCCTGCAGCAGACAACATGTTTCAAAAGCTGCAGCTTTATCTCATGGACCAGAGTTGGGCTTGTAATCCTTCCAGCCAATGCCTCCACTGGAAAGACACTGCAGCACATCAAACCTTAGAGAAGACTCTCTAGCCTATCAGAAATCCAGTGTTTGGAGGGATAAAGTGCAAAAGTCAGGATTGGAGTTAGACGTGCGTCTTTAACTGTGAAAATAATTAAGCAAGGCTTGGGGTGTGGAGGACTTTCCATTACTGATAAGTCATAAAGCAAAATTGCATGCTTTTCTTAAGAATTGTCTTGCATTCAATTAAAAAAAATAAAAAACCCCAACAAACTAACATACTATCCTCAACCATAATGCAGAAGAGTGTTCTTATTCTGATGTGTAAAAATGTCTCTGCTCCTGAACCCAGCAGCACCTATGGTGAAAGTGCTGAAGGAAGTGGCTATTGCCCATTGTTCATATTGGTTTTGGCTTTTGCCATCTAGAAAAGGAAGTGGATGCTTTTGGCCAAACATGAGCCACAGAACCCTAGTCCAAACTGGAACATCGTGGTGCATTCCTACTACATCATTGTCCCTTCCGACTCTGCCACTCTACTGGTCAAAGCGGTCGCCATCAGAGAGCTCTTGCTGCCGTCAACCTTCCCACCCCTCCTTGCTGAACATCCTGAGAGAGTGCATGGCCCTATAGAGGTAAGTCATTGACAGCCCTGCACGAATACCTATGGAAAAGATCCCCGTTGTACAAACAGGGATCAGAGTAATGATCAGCCTTTATGCACAGGACATGCAGCTGCTATTGAAGATGTATCTGTATCTCCCTCATTGCTGGGAACATGAATCTCGTCAGACTGCAGAGAGAGGTGCTTTAGGCATAAGATAAATCAATACTTAAACTATCTCTGTTTCTTCCAATAGATTCAGGCTTGTGCGTTTCCTATTGTGCATCCATATGTTCTTCTCCTGAGTTGTCTGCTTCTGCTTCGGGTGTCGCCAGGAAGGGCACAACCCTCACTATAGGTCTAAGCAGATGAGTGGAGGAGGAAACAGCTGTGAAAATGTCTAGTGACAGCTGGAGTATGAGGGAGCACTCCAAAACTTCTTCCAAGCAGCCAATACATCCTACAGCTTTCTTCGTGGATAGCAAATGCCTCTCCTTTGGAGCAATGTTGCCTGTTGGGGGAAGGGGGAAGAGGCCTTATGACGCAAAGAGTTGAGTGCGACAGTGCCTAGAAAGGGTGTTCCAGCTGCTTGGCTGATTCTGGGCATGGGGGAGGATAGGACTGCATCCTGCAAGGGGATGCTTAAATCCATTAAGACCTGATTGCAGATGTCTCTTGTTCTTTACACAACTAAGAGTGGTCCTTGTGGGTAGCAGCACAGCCAAAGATCTCTTCTCCCATCCCTGCAGGGTGGCATGGAGCGTCTGTACCACTCATCCCTGCAAAAAAAAGCCCTCGACTAAAAACAACAAAAAAAAAACCTCTAAGCAAACTCCACAGCCTCTGCTAACCCTAACCCTAACCCTGCCACATCTCATAGTCACTAGGCTCTTTCTTCTGTCTGAGCAGAGTGCCCTGAACAGCTTGGAAGTGGAAGTTGCTTATAACCCCTTGCACCTAAAAAGCAACCTCTACAAATACCTGAAGAGTGTGTTGTACAAACCTCTGCACAGGCAGCAGGCCCAGCCCAGGGACCAGCGACCAGAGCGGCATCAACCCAAGCAGGTACGTCTCTTGCCTTTGGCTAGTCTAGATATTCTCTGGTCTGCCCTTCTGCTCTGCTTCCTGCAGAAGGGCTGAGGGCAGCTCCCTGACACCGTACTGGTACAGGGAAGGCAGCATATGGCAGGGGCAACATTCGCTTGCAGCAGAGGGATGGGCATAGAGTAAGCTCATGCGATTGAGGAGGGGGATGCTGAACAGCTGACACATGCAGACACAATCGGGCAGTGAGCTGTTGGACAAGCCACTGCCTTCTTCCACAAGGTGCATTCGTATTTTGTCCCTGTATTGCAGCATCAGAGCAGAGCCAAGGCTACTGTGGCGCCCCTTCCGATGGTGCCTTCTCCTGTTCAAGTGTTCAGACCAACAGCGGTAAGGAGAGATTCCTCTGAGCACTCTCTGCTCTCCAAAGAGTATGAAGAGTTCCTGCAGTGAACCTCAGGGCGCTGCTTGAGCCTGCTCACGTGCACTCACGGCTTCTTGCTCAGCTGCCAAGCCTTATGCGCTGGGCCGGAAGCGGTCAGGCAAGACACTAACCTTGGCCTTGGTCAGACAGGCACTTCCCATCGTTTGTTCCTCCTTGTTTTATGGTTTTGTTAGTCACCGCATCGGTCTGCAGGAAGCCTGCTAGCTTGGGGCCCTCTGTCCAGAGTTTCAGCTATCCCCTGCAGCACCCCCTATTTCCCAGTTCTTGTCAGCACACATCAGCAGCATGCCTCAAATTTTGGTTTCTGAGACTAGGCTAGCACAGGCCACAAACCACAGATTGCTGTCAGCGAGTGCAGAAAAGCTGCAAGCAGGGTGGTGACGAAGTCAGATAGATAAAGTAGGCAGTAACGTCAAGCTGCTCTCATCCTGCGGGAGCAG